ATTGGTTAGTTGCAGCCCTAGTCTGTAGTCAATGTATTTCTAAAGGCAATAACTTGTTTTATTGATAAGCAAGGAAAACATCCGCAAAGGATTCTTTCTGTTCTTCATTCTGTTCCTCGTTTCAATATCAAATATTCACACACTTTTTTATTTTGCAGGTCATAACTGCCTGTACAGTAGTGCGTGAGTACATGAGGATCATCCATAAAAGGTCTTACTTTAGGGGGAAAAAAATCCAAGGTAATGTTTTGTGTGCTTAAAGACCAAATATCTTAGTATGGATCATTTACAAACTATTAAATCCTTTGTGTTCTTTTAAAGAAATAAAAGGTGATCAAGAAAAGAACGAAGACAAAACATATAATACTGTACTTTGTCCACCAGGAAAAGGAAAGCTCTTATAGTAATGTTTTAGATAAAAATATATCCATGTATGAAAATGGCCTAGTCAAAGTCCAGAATAAAATCTCAATGAGAATAACCTGCAAGATTTCAGAATGAATGATGCACAATCTCCAGTCAATCCGACTGAGCTGGAAATATTTGAATAAAAAAAATAAAGAAATTGATGTTTCTGAAACTGTTGCTTAATAAATCCGACCTCGATGTTCATGAACATCACTAACACAGCTTTTTGTGTTCAAGGCCGGCATAAAGTCAATCTGCAGCAGAACCCTTAAGACAGCAGTTAGAGGCATTTATGTGCTGAAGGTCGCAGTGACAGCCAAAAGCTGCAGTCTCCAGAGAATAAAGCCATTAAAAAGCACACTCTGCGGAGTCTGAGCCGCACTCTTTAACACCACACAGAGAGGGAGCGAATCGTGGTGGAGGAATTAGGGAATCAGAGCAGCTATGATGCACAGAACAATCACAGGATTAAGCCTGATCTCTGAACTATCGTATTTTTCAGAAACAGATTTTGATGAAAGAAGGACTAATAACCAAAAGAATACAAAGAGAGATGATTAAGTCTGCTGGTTCCTGAAGGAGAACATCCCCAAAGCATAAAGCCATGTTTCTGTCCAGAAACACTGCATTTATGGGCAACACTTCCCATGAAAGGTGGATGTGACTACAGCTTGTTCTGGGTAATGTTGGATAAATAAATGAAAAGTCTCCTGGTCTACTACAGCTCCTTAGACAATCTTTGCTCTTTTATAGAGGCTTGCCTTTGATGCAGCTGGTGGGCTTCTGATCCTGCGCTGCACTCATATGACCTGCCATTAGTCTGTAAAACAGCTATAGATCTAAACTGTAAAAGGCCGAGTCGGCTCCGATCCTCTAAAACAGGACTGCATAAAAAGAAAGTTTGGTAGAAAGTGAGAAAAGAAAAGAAGAGCGAATGAAGATCTGTGTGAGACGTTTAGGAGGAGCAGATGCATGCAGCTCTCTGACGCACCTGTGCTGATGTGGCTCAGGGTTTTTCTTTTCAAATCATCAACATCCCACGTCCGGCATCTATTACATTTCTTTGTTGCTTGGCAACCCAACCAATCTTTCTCCATCTAAATGGTTTTATTATTTTACTGGTAAAATACCTTTCTTGTCAATGACTTCATTCTGTTTTTAAGGTTTTCTGATCAAACTCTTAAAGCCAAAGTAAAATGGGGAAACCTAGACTTAGTAAAGCCAATGATGGGAGAAAATGCCTGGATGAGAAATAAGGATGAAATACTTCCTTAAGCAGGGCAGTTTATCTTCTTTTCATATGATTTCACTGCTTGTATGTACCTCTATTTACTAATGTCCAGCTCTCACAAAAATAAAAGCAGGTTCTAATGTACAAAAGTTTGTTATACAAACATTTTAGAGTCCAACGTGCAGACATTGTTGCTGCGAAACAAACCCAAATCATCACTATTCCATCACTGAGCTTAAAAGTTAATATGATGCAGACATCCTGGGTTTGGATTTCTCTACACACTTTGGTCAAACATCTGTATTGCTCCTGAGGTTTAGAGTTTCATTCAGATAAAGCTTAGAAATTAGGCCCTAAACACTCTCTAAATGTAGGTTCAGTTTTCTAGTGTACGCATATTTAGGTAGCTTTGATCACCACCTCCAAAAGCAGCATTTGTCATTTTTTCCTCTGCATAGTGGAACATTGTTTAATTTGCATAAACTACAGTTATGTTTGGCAGGCGAAGTGGGAAGGAGCACTGATATAGTTCATTAATTGAGCAGAAAAGCAACTCTAAGGGGTATAGCTGTTATTATAATGCTTACATAGATACTTGGAGCCAAAGAATAAAGGTAATAAACTTTATATAAACTACTTATCAAAAGCAGATGAGGAGCCTTAGCTGTTTCTATGAATCATAGTCATATTTCTTCATAAAGAAAGTTTCACATGTTCTAGATGAGCACCTTGGGAGAGAAACTCCTGGTTAATTATCTTTTTATATGTGTTAAATGTTTTCCTCAGATAAAAACTCCAGACTTTGGGGAAAAAGATATGCCAGATCTAAAGGCAGATACTGATGATTCCCAGAAGTCTCTACTGGTCCTCCATCTTAGCATTATGATCTAAACCTGTAAAAAGATCCAGTGTTAGAGAGATGGCCTTATTAACGCAACAGTATTTATGAAAGCCTGTTTGCCAATTTCCTTTTTGACATTAAAAAAGAAAAAACCAGCAGGGGCAATCTTAGTCAACAAAACAGGATAATAAAATCTGTTGGAGTTTTGTATGATTCAATCTACATAAACTGAGATAAAGTAAAATATTTCCATAAAATCAGAGATGCATTTAATACCATGAATGTACAGTAATCAAGTGGTTACAATAGGTGAAGCACATTAAATAAGGCACTTTTTTGTTTTTAATTAATTGGGGAAAAAAACATAATTAGGAAACTAGATAATACTTCTTAAAGGAACCAGGAAGTATGACCATATAAGGGCTATACTGACCTCTATACACTGGCTACCTCTTCTTATCAAATATATTTTAAGATTTTATTAACTTATAAAGTTTTAATTGGGCTAGCTCCCCCTTATCTTTGGGATCTTTTAAAATATGATCAGTTAATCAGCTATTATTGATATTTCCTCTGACTCTACTTAAGAGGAAAGGGAATCAGCCCTTTTCTGTTGCTCCGATTCTATGGAAGAATTTTCCTTTCCTAATTAAATCTGCTCAATGCCTGGATAATTTTAAATCGCTTCTCACATCGAATTTTTATTCCTTGGCATTTATATGAAGTAGTGTTTGTTACTGTGTTTTTATCAGCTTGTGTATTGTGGTTCTTGTGCAGCACTTTGGTGCAGTTTTTCACCTGTTTTTAAAGTGCTATATAAATAAATTTGACATTGTGACACGAGGTATATATAGTACTTTATTGAAAACACATTCCTTTATAGTACTAAGTTTTGTTTATATATTAAACATTGTATTTTAAGGAACAAATATTTTAGTTTTGAGCGATAATGTGACAGAAATACTAGCATGGATTGAGGATTTTGCCACCATTTTATTGGAGAACAGCTAGTTAGGTTTTATTATCCCAGTATTACCTTTTTGTCTCTGCCTGTTAACACGTTGCCATGGGAGACAACACCCTAATGAACTTCCCTGACAAGCTTTAAAGTTGTTCCAGATGTTCGTTTTGATCTGTTCCTGCATCGTCTCCCGAACCAACGTCAGTTATTTCTGTTTGCAGTGTTTCTATCAAATGACTGGATGGAGAGTGACTAACTTTATTATACAGTCTGTTTTGTAATGATGAACAAATTGAATCCTGTGCTTCCAGCTTATGAGGCCTGATGCATTTCTGTTTATAAAAACGAAATAATTAACTTCTCTCTGACTGAAAGAAAACATCATTATGATATAATTAAATCTTAGAGATGTAAACTCCGTGTTAGACAGAGTTAGTTTGCTCTGACAGGAGAAGACAAACAGAAATTAATCCTCTGCAAACTCCGAAATGCAGAGGATAACGTACAGCTAAGCAAATATTCGACGGCATATTTGAATTACTGATGGATGGATACAAATTTCAGGCACTGGAATGGAAAAGCCCTGCCTCAGAATTTTATTTTTTCACCAAAATTCCAGACTTTTCCACACCATTAGACATTGTGTGAATCCATTTTTTATTTAAAAAGTAAGTCAGCAGAGTCTGAACCAAATTATGAAATGCTATCCTCATTTCCCCTCTCTTTTACTTTTCCTTCCTCCTCTATAAAACTCGCACACAAATCCACCCACAGAAAGCCTAGAAGACGATGATCAGACCAGACGATTCGCTTTATGTTTCCACACAATTAAACTAATAAGCACAGAGCTTTTTCTTTTCTCTTTTAAAAGCCATCGGCACTTAAGCACAAACAGCTACACAGGAATCTATGCAGGTGCAAAGCTCTCAAGGCACTGAGCCAGTCTGCTAGGAAGGCTGCCAGAGGACAAGACACAGGGTCTGTTGTGATAAAAATGTCAGGTGTCCTGTTGCTACTGCCAGCATGCGTTTCACCACTAAACACTCATTGATGCACGTTTACACACAATAAGTGGCGAATGCATTCATAGCTAACTGGGTGGTAAACTGAAGCTAGGAGAGGGTTTGGTTTGCAAAGATTAAGAGTCAATCTCTGCTGTATTCCTCTGCTGATGTAATATTAATTTCCTCCAGAGGGAAGATTAACCTTTAATGGATTCTTTTGATTTCAGATATTTGAATGTCATTTATTTTAATGCATAACTTAAGTGCTACTCATAATGCACACCTTTAAAAAAAAAAAAAATAGGAAAAAATGAGGAGAGTATTCGGAATTGCCAGGAGAGCAAATCTTATTCACTTTGTTCCCAAGGTAACCAGTGAAAAAATTCACCAAGCGCAACGTCAACATCACCAGTCTGTCTTTTCACTCGACCTGCAGGGCTGTTTTCTTCTGCCTCATGCAGGAAACATATGCTCAAAGAGGGTTACCAATAATATACGAAAACCACTCAATCAGTTCGTCTTTTTTATAGGAGGTGTTTTATGTGTTTAATGTACCTGAGAGCCGCTGGAAAAACCAAGGTTGTGGCAGCCGTTACACGGGGTGAGAGCTTCCCAGAATCCAGTTGGGCCGCATGTCTTTTCCGCCTCATCTTCCATCACAGCTACGGCGGGAGGTGGCGAAGGACGCTGTTGGCCCAAAACCAGTAACACAATTAGGGGGACGTTCGACAATGATAGGATAAAACAAAACAGTAATATGTTTAAAGATACTGTAAAATGTGAGGAGTCGGAGCGTGATAAACCATCGTAAGGCAGGGGCATCAACATTTCAGTTCTTAGAGCGTCTCCTACTACATGTTGTGGATGCATTAAAGCTAGACTTTTAATTTCTTTACAGTGTTCAAAATCCTGCAGATGAGACGTTTAATCCAGGGGAGATAAAGCACATAGACATGGATGCTCAAAAACCAACTAAACAGTTGATTACCAGATCTGTTATCCCAAAACTTACATTGTCCGGGCAGTTTTCTTATAAGATACTTATCCAATGCACCTGAATCAAACAGGTCCCATAGATAAATAAACAAATATGAATGGAGGGTATGCAGGTTTACACCACTATTCTGCATTCTAAGCTAACAGTAACATCCATGCTTTTAGAAGAAAGGCTTCATAGGCATCATGTTTCTCCTTTTAAATGCAGAAAGTCGTGGGTAATAAGGGCATTTACAAAGAATAGATTAAAAAAAAAAGAGGTAAGTTTAAAACGTGTTCAAATGAGGTAAAAGTGCAGCATTCAGGCTCTAATCTACACTGCAAAAAAATGTAATCTAACTCAATTTTCCTTAATAAGTGCATTTGTTCTTGAGCTGAGTAAGTCAGACAACTGCAATGTCTAATTTCAAGGGCATATTATCTAATTATCTTATTTCAAGGGTAAAAATACTAATTCCATTGACAGATCATATAATTTTCCTACTCACATTAAGCGTAAACACGCTTAATTTTAAAAATCTTAACTCATTTACAGAAAGTTATTGCATCATAAAATGTTATATATGAGGGAGAACTGCACAAGTGAAACACAGTAGTGGCACCATGGTGCTTTGGAGATGCTCTTCTTAAAATGAAACCTAAAAAACAGCCAGTCTGTTGTGGTTTTTTTTAGTTGTGAATGCTTTAACAATGTAAAGCTGCAATTTTATTACCAAGTGGGTAAATGGGGTTATAAATCTAATGGGTTAAAGACTTTTAGAAAACAATGTATTTTTAACAAAAAAGGAAATGGTTAAATGATGCAGCAAAAGAAGAAAAAAAGAAAACTCAAGACTGCAACACTTTTTTTTTTTTTTTCTCCGAAGGGTTTTGTGCAGTGAGGTGCATTAGGACAGAGAGTCTACCTGATATCTCTGTAAACCCCAGCATGCAGCTAAGGACACAAGCAGGTTGCACAGAGAGAATATAAACAAAGATCCCAAGGAGAGGGAGCCTGCAGGGGATAGATGCATAAAACATTTGAATGTAGCTAAAGACAAAGAAAGGAGAGGAGCAAAAACTTAAAAGGTCGGCAATCGCTGCAGACAGCCCTTTGCAACAATCGAGTATTGATCCATATTAAATGGACTGCAGTCTCCATCATGCTGCACTGTAAGCATGGATAGGCGGTGTATCCTTTCATTACAGGAAAAATCTAATGTCAGACTTTTCAACAAACAGGATCTCTTCAATTATTCATTGGAGACCTGGAAAATTTGATCAATAATACACAGGCTGTCAAAGCCTTAAAGACAGATGTGTTCTGAGTCCACATCATGTGACCTTTCACAAATTATCTTCACTCATTCAATCGATGAATGAAGAAATTCGATATTAAATAGGATCTTGATTTATACCAAGAAAGAATAAAGGTTGTCATAAATTAAACAGTTATTACTGTCAGAAACCTGACTTCTGTACGTCTTTGTGCTGCGAACGCATAAATACATGTAGAGACAGAGTCAGAAAAGTTTGGAAAAGTTGATAGGAAAACTTTTTCACACATAAAGCTTTTTAAATTAACAAACGCAGTTGTCTAAAAAAGTATGGATACGATCTTAGTCATTTCAACAGCTTCCGCAAAATGTCTAAGTTGCATTGCTTTGTTTTTGTCTTTGGTAATTATTTGATTTAAAAATAAAAAAAAAACTAAAAGAAATTATAAAGATTTCTTAATACATTGAGAGAAAAATCTGAAAAAAGATTTAAATGTATGAATATAAATACTATTAATAAAATGAAATGTTCAAATTCATCAACTCCAATTTTAATACCAATCAAGTTCCTGCTAAAGGAATCCAGGTTCATCTAAACTGTTCTTAAACTCAGTGACCAAATAGATTTCGTTAATAATCCAACTGTGAGAACAGCCAAACAGAGAGTGATGATTTCATTTTCGACTGATATATCATTTTAATTTTGGAGAATTATTGCATGAATAAATAAAAGCTTGCTACCTAATAACATCATCTGGTCAACTTTGACTTGTTGCAGACTTCAGGAGGATCAGTAAACCATTATTAACTTTAGATTATGCTTTATAATCTAAAAGGGTGATTATAATTACAAAAATAACTTCTTAATTATACAAAAAAAAAGAAAAAATTATTAATTTACAAGATAAAAAAGAACATAAATGAAAAACAGTTTTGTTTGTTTTTTTGCTATAAAAATGTAAGTTATAAAGAGAACAATGAAAACAAAATATATGTTCAAAAGATGCATTCATATTTCATTCATAGAAATTTGATTCTAGATGCTCACAAGATTAAAATAAATCCATCAACATCTTTTAATCACTGATATAATAGTAAAAATAGCATCAGCAACCACTGGGTTTTGTTTTTTTCTAGGGGATTTTTGTTAACACATAGCTATACTTCATCATTATTCATTTTAGTATCTAGTATAATTTCTGCAGAGAATCTCAAAACCCCAGACTTGATGATCTATCATAGTTTTTCCTCTCCACTGTCGCTACAAGCATGCTTAGTGTGAGGGATTGCATTCGAGTCAATAAGTCAATGCAATCAACTGGTTTTCGTTAGATAGAAAACTTTGAATCAATTTGACTGGATGATCTGGTGAACTGTAAAGTGCCTTGAGATGACATGTGTTGTGAATTGCCGATATAAAAATAAACTAAACTGAATTGAATTGAAATCACAAAGAAAGATCAGATACTCTGATCTTAGAGCGATGAGTAAATCAAGAAGTAAAAATATTTTATATAACCTCCAATTCTGTACTTGTACTCTTGTTTTTCCTTTTTCTTGTATTTTAGTCCTTATGTCCACCTACTACACACCAAGTAAACTCATTCTTTGAGACACCACACTGCGGGCACAGAGCCACAGAAAGATGCCATGTCAGAGAGCTGTTCTGAGTTTTACTCATGACTAATGGGCTCACTAAATCACACACTAATGGGCCTGGAAACATGTTCGGACACCGGCCCAGGGGCACGCAGACACACATACCAAGCAGCTCCGTAACACAATCCAAATTGGTGCTTACTGAGAGAAGACAGGAGATGGATTGAGATAATTACAGCCTAAATGAGCTGAGGTGTGTGTGTTCACGTCCCATGCACAGGTGTGTGAGCCTCCTGGATTTGGTGTGTGCTTTGCTGTAGGTAAACACAATTTGGCTTCCATTCACATTGAGGAGAAATGGAAAAATAATGAACTATTGATCAGAGCCGCCCCACTCATAGAAAGGAAAATAAAAACAGACATGCTGTAATACGTTAGCGGAAAGCACCAGAACACACAGATTTCTGTGTGGGCATGTGTGGCTTGAAGGCTCAGGTTCACGTCGGGCTGAAGTTTTCTGATCAGGAGGTACAGATTAACGTCAGTGATGGGTTTCCAGTGAAAACAGGAAGGAAACTGCAGTATTTAAGACGAGAGAAAACCAACATCTCCAGGCGGTGGACAGCTGTTTGTTCAACAAACACGCCAAAGCTGTTTTCTAACTGCGGCAAGAGCTGTTAGAGCCAAGCCAGTTTTGGAGGGTGTGGTACTGCCCTCTGCTGGAAAAGCAGAGAAGGTACAAGCCCCATTTAGAAAAAATGAAAAAAAAAATATGCAATACTTCTAAGACCATTGGACATTTCAGTTTTTCTTTTTAATACATTTGCAAAAATCTCTACATTTCTGGAGGGGTTTTTCCCTCTCAAGATGGAGTGTTAAGTATATATGAATGAGAAATAAGTTAGATTTTAGCAAATACCTGCAGTGAAACAAAGAGTGAAAAATGTAAAGGGGTTTGAATACTTTTTGTACCCACTGTAAATAGAGTTTGTATTTTGACAAATATTTCTGACCTGAAACCAACTAATTTCAGAGTCTACTTCAACGGAAGCTTATAATGGTGGATACAGGTGAACATTTTATGCACTGCATCTCCTAGTGCCTCATGTGCAAACATTTCGTTTTTGTTTAGTTTTTTAAAAGTATAAACAACAAGAAAAAAAAACACATGACTATAGAATTGCGGTTATATATTTTGGAGTATATAAGCTATATTAGCTGCTAGATACATAAATACAAGAATTAGGCAGAGTAAATATTAGCAAATTAATGATGCCAATAGTACAAAAAAGAAAAACAGAAAATGCTCCTTGCATTTTTTTTGGCTAAATTTGACTAAAACAAGAATCTGTTGTTTTGTCTAAATCTGATGCAGCTTCTCATTGCAAAAGATTTTTTCACTCATTTAGCAACTCCCAGAGTATTTCAGATCATTTATTTTCTAACTACTGTCATGCAGAAATGATAAGAAGACATTTTTATTAAGTCCAAGTCTAGTTTGAGATCTTCCATTACAGATTAGAGTTAAATCTTTAATCTCCAAGACTTAAATGAACTTTATTTCAATAAACCCAAAATATCTATGTCACTTCTTTTCCTGTGTTGCTCAACCTTGGGTATCCAAACCTGTGCTGTTATTATAAAATAGAAGTTTCTGTTTTTTTACATTTTTTTTATCTGATAAAGGGTGATTTTCACAAAATAGAATTTAACACAGTTTTATTAAGAGAGACATTCATGGTGTCATTAAAAGGCTACAAACACAAAGATGTTATTAGGAGTCATTATTAGCTATTATTCCCCACTGGGAACTGTATTATAATGACTCATCTCATTGTTTGACAGTAAAACATGAACAGCAGCTGTGATCTGTAGCTCAAATACCAGATAACTTTCAGCTACTTTAGTTTTATATGAGGTTATATCTCATTTAACTCTATTAAGGGTACATTTTTAAGTTTTTACAAATTCGTTTTTAGAATCAGGATCAAAAAATGACGTATAAATCAAAGCATTCAGATTAGGAAATACTGTTAACAGCAGGAATTTTTATTTGGATGTTAAGATTGGAGCTCCATAAGTCCTGCCCTAAAACATCTCTACATGGGAACCTCTATGCTGAGAAACGTAAACTAAACTAAAACACTGAGGACATATCAGTAGTAAACAATATTTTGTGTACTCAACTGTTTTTTAAGAGGTGGAGAACAGTCTATTAGTGTGTCCTAAAAACATCCATCTGATAGACCCTGGGAATATTGTTGAAGCATAAAGCCAGGATCTTTGATAGAACAAGTAGAAGCAGGAGTACAAACTGTACAAATTAGTGTTTCTCATCTCTTTCAATAGTCTGCACAGGAAACCAAAACACTTCTCCTACCCGTGTAATGATATTTTATGCGTTGGCTAAACCCGCACATTGTTGAGGGGATTTTCTTATGCCATCTGTTTATTGTACACCTCTTCCTCCTGTAAACAGGTACGTGCCTGGAGCACAGTCCAGTCCCACGTTACAGTGAGTCCACGCCGATTCACAACTGATCTTCTTTTTCCTGATGAATTTCTCTTTTAGAGAAATTTCTTATTTAGAGAAAACATCTCCTTGGAACTATTAAACCTATTTTTAGCTGGATAGTTAACCACCAATTCTAATTCTATGTATTGTAATTTTAGGACCATTAAGGTTGAGGTCAGAGGTTAGCTAACTGAGAAAGGTGGTGGCTGCATCATTCTGAGGGTCTGTCTTAATGGTGTAGAATACCTTGATATCATATAATTTGATCAAAAGAGGAATTTACCATGGTAACATGATCCCAAACACTATTTTTGATTTATGCTGAATTTTGAAGCGTGGTCTGCACCTTGTTATATTCCACGCCACGATGCAAGAGGTGCAATCAGGAACTAGCTGTGGGTCTAGATACGGCTGAGGCGTTGAGGAAGTGGGGGCAAGTTTGTGTGACAACGGAGGGACATGAGGGCAAAAAAGAGCAGGAATCCAGATGGAAAAAGGGTCCCAACGTTCTCGCATACCTCGCTCCTCTAGCTGGTCCAACTTCACGAGTTGTTTTCCGCAATGGCGGTCATACAAACAAAACAAGCCGGCAAACGGATGTAGATTTGACCAATCAGAGGCCTCCTGCCTGCGGTCACCTACAATTTGGGAGAGGTGCAGCAGAGTGTCTGAGGAAGGGGCAGGGATGTCTTTGCGTTCACTGCGACACCTACGCAGACAAACTAGTTTTGAAGTATAAATCAGCCTTTAGAGTGAATAAAAGCAGGCAACTTAGCTTGTACTTAACCCTGTTTTAAATGTGTAGACTGAAACTCAGGGCTGCAGCAGGAAACAGACCAAATAAAATAAATGCTTGGCTGTGAAATCTCTAAACAAAGTTAAACTGCCTAATAGTGCAACAATCATGATTTAATTAAACTCTGATCAAAAACATGTTCACATTTCCCGACACAAAAAGTGTCCCATTTCTTACCAAAAATATTATGAAATTTATCCACACAACATTTCAGGTCTGTAAATCAAATTTAGCCTGTGTTTATAATCCTGACTAAGGCGGTTTAAAAAATAATCCAAAATAACTTTTAAATGGTGGATCTACAGTAAAGATTCTTTTGAAATGAATTACAGCTATATCAAGTATTATGAAACGGAAGCCCATGATGAGTAATTATAAAACGGTATTCGAATGCATCTGTTTGGTGATTAAATAGTTTACCAGAACCATCTGCTTAAAAAATCTATTTATAAACATAAAAAAGTACCTTGCTGACTCTAGTTAGGGTGCCGTTAGGTCGGTCTGGGTGCTCCTCATCAGACAGCCGTCCGCTCCCAAAGCTGTCCATGGAGTGGGATGAAATGGTGTGGCAGAGCTCCTCGAAGGAATAGTCCCTGTCTCGGCACTTTTTGATGTCATGGAACAGTTTGGACAGCTCACTCGTCACAGGATCATCTGTTGGAGGGAGAGAGAAATATTAACACAGTAAAGGCATTTAACCATACATGGGGTCAGTATGAAAACAGATCAAATATGGGACTAAAGTTACAAGAATTGTTTTCTCTGTCTTTTGCAGGTCAATGAAAAGCAAATTATCCAAGTCTTTAAATAATTGAAGTACTTTTAGTGTCTGGAATCAAGAAGAGCTGACCAGGTACTAAAGTTGTTATGTCATATATCCAACACAGGGGGCAGTGTTGGACAGGGTTAAAGCAACACAGAAAGTAACTTTTCTCCTCTAGATAACCTGAATTTATATGACTACATAACAAAAATAGAAATACATTTTGAATATCCAGCAACCTGAATGACATTAGCATAAATATCAACTATTAAAAAATATATATCATTAATGATAAATGTATGCTTTAAAATACAATAAGATGATCAACGCATGAGGCCAATCAGGCAGTGCCTGCTGTCACCCTAATCTAAGCATTTTCACAGCATGAGAATAGATTGGAAACAACAGTTAGTTTGATTGGGGTTGTTTTCTAGTTATAATAAAACACATTTCCTCGTTAAAACATGCCAATTTCCACCTCAAACACTCATCATCCTACCATCTTCTTTACTACTCTAAACAACTTAGCTGTAAGAAATTGGCCAACATTTCAAAGTGATCCTTCAGTCTTTTGTGCATCTATTCAGAAGAAACAAATCATGCAGCTTTTACTCCTTTGTCACCATCTGGTCAAATCTCTCTGCAGACCAGGCAGGGAAAGCCTTTAAAACTGAGCCATTGTGCTGTGTGTTGAAAAGAAATCAGCTTTACAGCTTGTGTGATGCGGAAAGTAAAACCACACATTTCATTTGAGATAAGCTGAACCACGTGTTACAAACCTTTGCAATCTTACTCTGATAAATTCTGAGAAGCGCTCTGCCAGTTTTTGAGAAATAGCTCAAGACTGTTTTTTCTCACTGTACATTCTGCAAATTTGGATTTTGCATGCATTTGATATCCTTTATAACATTAAGAAATCCACTTACAGCTCTCAAAAATCAGTTGCCACGCTTAGATGTCTAAAGATACTGTTTTAAGGTGTAAACATAAATTCACTCTGGAAAAAAAAAAGTCATACCGAGTTACAATTATTCTGTGGACCAATTATTTCTATTTTGATAATTATTAGCAAAATATGGACAGTCAATTTTATTTATTTTCTAATCAAAATGAATTTTTAAGGAACCTCAAATGAGAAATCTAAAACTTTGTGACAAATAACCCAATTTCCCCAGCCACTCTATCACAGAGGTTTAGCGGACCGCGGTGCAGATTTGGACCCACCTGCTGGCTAATCCAGACCCAACCTAATTTAAAACATTTATAAATTACCGCCTGTTGTCCGACGACAGTGTCTAACTTTACTTGCTCTGTTTCTCCTGTTAATATGATAAAGCCACCAGGACCAGGCTGCATGTGATACAAATTAGCCAATGAGCTGCTGACAGTCTGGGTTGCTGCTGCTGCTACTTTTAGACGCAGCAGGCAAACCTGTGGCAAGCCGGGCGATGGGAGAGAAGGAGAAGACGATGAGAAAAAGAGAGCAGAGAAAGTTTGGACTGCTAAATAAGCTGCAGTGAACTGGTGAAAGAAAAGTGAAATGGCGTGCTAAAAGATGACCCTGCACATTTTGAGGATGTTTGGCTCAACCTGCTGCTGTGAATTCTCCACCATGAAGAGAATCAACAATAAATATGGATCCAGGCTCAAAATGAGCACCTTGATATGTGCTTTAGAATGGTTTTTTCTCCTTTCAAACCCAGGTTTAAACCATGCAGGGCAGCATAAAGCCCACTCTCTCATTAGGCCATAAAAAAATGAAGAAAAAAAAACGGTCAGGTGGTTCAGGTGTTTTATAAAATATGTGAATCAGGAAATTGTCTATATACTTAACTGGTAGATTGTTGTTCTCTTCTTCAAAAAACACTTCAGATTTTTTTACTTTTTTTTTTATTTAAAAATTCAATGTACAACATGGATGCATTAAAACCCTGCTTTTTATTTCAGTGTTAAATTCTGTTTAAAGTAACAGATTATAATTTAAAAAAATGTCTCCGGACCTTTACTGATGATGATTTTCTTTATTCGGACCCCGCAGATTTTTATTTGGTTACCCCTGCTCTAGAGAATGGGATAAATAATGAAGCTATGCCAGTCAGTAGCCTGATTTTTTCTTAACTGTGGCCGTTTCTCAATTCACAAAAACACAATTATCAATTCTTTTTTCCACCAAATCCGTTCTTGAACATAGGAATTATATACAAGCTGCGAATAGGAGCCCCCAGAACGAACCTTTGTCAATTGGAACAAGTGTACTCGTGAGATCACCGCACACTCAGCTCATCCGGACCTGCATTTCTCCTCCTGTTATCAATAGCATCTAGATTAGGGGTTAGCAACCTGCGGCTCCGGAGCCACATTTGGCTCCTTGCGGCTCCCTTTAGCTTGTTAAAAATTTATGAAATGTATTTTTTGTTTGTTTTAATACGGTGTGCAGGAGTTTAAACAAATGTTTTCCAATGCAGTAAAAACTTGTACAATAAATACTTTTAAACAATAAACCTAAACATTTCTTTCAGAGTAAATCTGCATCATAGCCATAGAGATCAGTGGTCATAGTGTGCAACACGCAGCGACGGCGCGGTGCCAGGCAAACAACATGGCGGGTGTGTCTCAGACCATGGATCCCAAAGGGGAAAAAAGGTAAATAGCTGACGAGAACAGAGGATTTAAAGAATGGACCGAATCCTTTGCTTTTATTATCAATGCAGAAGGACTGCCTGCGTTTTTGCTTTGTAATGAGAGGTTGTCAAAAAATTAAGAGAGTAATTTGGAGAGGCATTTCCAGGAAGGCATGCTAAAAATGCAGCCAATCACAAAGCTGGAAGTGAGAGAAAAAGTGCGATTGCAGAACTTCTGGATAAATTAGACGAGAGCAAAGATAGATTTAAGAAGTGGATTACATCTCCAAACTCTACTACTGCTGCTAGTTTGGTTGCAAGCATATAAAACGTCCACAAATCGAACAGGTGGCGCTTTGATGACGGTATGTGAACTTTCTTCCATTTTTTTCCCCAAATCCTCAAAATAAAAATATCCCCAAGGAGCGCTGGTGAAGGAGGATGTGGGATTCCAGGGCTCTGTTCGAAAACCTAGGACGGGTCCTCCAAGGACACGGTCTACCTAGACTGGATCCTTCGAAGTCCTTGAAAATAAGGAGACC